GACAATGCTGCTACCCTGCAAAGATCGATTGAGGTGGGTAGTTCAACGCTGGATATGCGCTGGTACAAGAGACAGGGGGCGGATGACGATTTGGCCCAGAACCCGACCAATTACGGCACAAACGGTCACGATACTATGAAAGAGATGGGTCGATGACCGGAGATTATGAATATCGTCGGATTCCTCCATTCCAGAGTGGCATCGGCTTCTTGCTGACGAACGCCTCCTCGTTATGTATTCCTTTGTTGGATTTGGAATAACTCTCATTGGCCGGTTCTTCGATGAGAGACGAGAAGTGCGCGGGCTTTGAAGGATGTCGGATTGATGATGAGGCTCGCGTTGGGGAAGGGCCCACGGAAGGGCTCGCGGAAGGGCATCCATCGCCGAACTCAGTCTTCTGACATATATGGCGAAGTTACATTTGACTAGCTCATCGTCCATTCCAGAGACGCGCGATATTATCCGTCCGTGAGCCGCCCAGGAGGAGCTGATGCCTTCAGTAACGGAGGTCGTGGGAAACTGTGAACTGTTGCCCAGGCTCCACCTAGAGCCCATTCATCGTAATATCGTCAATCCGTAATCGATGTCCTATCTTCTTCATGTAGTCCATTTTCGCATCAGCGTTACCCTTACTTCAATCCACCCTTTAGCTCTTCCCCCATTTACTATCGGTACTCTTTTAGTACCACTCTTCTTCATTCTAGCGCCACTCTTCTTTCGAACTTCTCGCTAGTTTCTCCTACTAACACTAATATCCTCCCTTCTAACTCTCAGCTCTTCCTCCCATCAACATGGCCCTTCTTGTCAGCAGCGCTACTCTGCTTCCGACTAGCACTAGATTTCTTTCCATACGACATCTAACCCTTTTCTTCACCAGCAGCTCTCACACCATGTCTTTGCACTACTTACTTGCAACGACTCCCACCCCTTCTCTTTACTAGCGACCTTGTATTGCGATCGCTACCCTTCTTTTATTCCAAACCCTCACCACTCTTATCACTATCTCTTTTCTTCATCTTCAGCCTCTCCCTTCTCTCAGAGGTCTACACTCTTTATCTGTAGCCTCTACACCTCTCCGTCTTTCCCTACTCTTCCCCTTCATCCTCTATCCTTCCACTCCATCTTCCATCCGTCCATACCCAGCTTCCCCAACCCAGCTGTATCCTCTCTTTTCGGCGCCCTCAGCCCGACACGCCCCTTCCCGCTTCGGCTTGCATGAACATACGATCTGGTTGTAACGCCCACGGCCCACAAGGCGTCAAGAGATGGAGGCATCGAATCGCGCATCCGATAGACCGCCACTGGAAGGAAAAGAACCCGGATCATGGTGTAGTATCATCGTACACGCCCGAGCATCAGCAGCAAGGGGTTCAGGATACTGTTGTGCGTACATGCTGGTAGAGATGATGCTGTGTGCAGCTTGGAAGATGGAGGCGGTGAGGTTCGTGTGCGGGGTGAATAGGTCAGGAGTCCAGCTTTGTGCCTGCTTCACTTCAAAGTCTGTAAACCGATGGCGGATGTTCATGGGCGTTGGTAGTGGGCGAACGCGAACCAGGTGCTGGGTCTGCTCCTTTCGGTTTGCTGCAGCCAGATTGCTCATAGCATAATGAGGAGCGACGAAGTAATAGGCTCGGGCGGTTGGTGACTCTTTTCATCGCGTATATGGTATGCTTCGGAATGCGTCGTTTTCGGTGGGCCCGAATGTGTGTTATGTGGCTGCAGCAGCGAGCAGCGGGACAAGATCGGCGAACTCCTTACGATTGTTGTATGCCTGTCTTCCCGATCCTGATATGGGGCCTGAGGAGCAGACGGTGCGTCCAGAGCGTTGGCCACGGAGTATAGGGGCGCCCGATAAACCGCGATATTTGTATGTGATGGCGCCGCACGGTGTCTTGAGAGCTTTCGCCACAAAGCCATTAGCTACCCGACCAGACCCTCTTCCTTTGCCGCAACCAGGTTGCTCATCAAGGGACGGGGGACTGTCGCGCACAACCTCCACCAATCCCATGCGACGCAGTTGTGGGCACCATAGGATGCGACACCTGCCACGATAGGAAGGAAACCACCCTTGATCTTGCATATGTTTGTGAGGAGCGCCCAATTGCCCGGTGGCTTCTAGTCAGCTGCCTTGTTGCGATGGGGGAACGACGCCGGGTGGACGGATGGGCGCGCACGAACGATATCGAGCGGGTAGTTGAGGGTGACGCCGGCAATGCCAGCACACAGCAGTCGCTGGTGGACATCGACGTGCCTCGTGTCTTGTGTGAACCGCCGTATGAGCTGCCGTATAGACTGTGGTGTATACGGCGCCGTGATCGTCGAGCTCGTTCGTCTAGCTACTTGAGGGGGAAAGCGACGGAGATCTGCGCAAACATCAGCAAAAGACTTGGTCAGACATGAGATGATTGTGGACATGGCAACCCACGTCAAGACTCTTTCGATGCTGCCCATGGCAGGAATAGCCCGATGACGTAGCCATCTTTCGTTGCTCGCAGCCTGCCCATTACGCACGGCATGTTTTCCGGGCATGCCGTCCGCCGTCCGCACGATGCCCTTGAACATGTGTAGCCTGCGGGCCAGTCTTGAGTACCGCCCCGGCCACCCTGACCGCCGGCTGTCTGTCTGGGGGCCCCGAGGCGCCACTCGACGCGTCGGCGGCGCGTCGGATCGGTCAGGGAGCGTGTTGAAGCCTGAGACGTGCGCATCGCTGCGTGCCGCATCCCCCGGGGGCTGTTGGCCGTGGGAAGTGGGTGGCTGCGCTGGGCTGGAGGGGAGTGACTCTTAGTGGCTTTCGTTTTCCGTCATTCGTATGCACATTCTGGGCAGTTAATTGTGTGCCGCCGGAGTCTGCTGAAGAAGGTTCTGGGGCGCGGGTGTGTCGGGTCATGGTCGATCGGCTGCCGGAGCAAAGTCGTAAGTTTTGTCGGCGGCGCGTTTTCGTGGGTTGCTACATCGTTGGCTTTGCGGTTGGACGCGCCAAGGACCCGCCGAAATCTAAGAAAAGGCAAGATTTATCCGGGCAGAGAAGGGTTCATGTTTTGAAGAGTGTTGTTGCGGGGCCGGAGAAGCCAGCTGATGTTGGGCCGAGTCCGGTGGAAGAGTACTGCAGACAATCGGCTTGGTGGTTGTTGAGGTGGAGCAAGGCTTGGCGCTTCTGCGTGCATCACCACGTCATCTCACCTCCTGCTTCCCACGACATCGTCACCCACTCTCGGCCTTCCGACATGAGTACCAAAAGGCCCATCTCATTCGAAAATTGTTATCGTCGCCTCGCTGTTAGTTGACGACCGCTTGTGACGCAGCACAACGCTGCAGACAGCGGCCCCCAATTCGAGGAGTGCGCATATGTACGCGGCCACCCACTCGGCATCCTTAACAACGATCTCTTTCCATTCCAGTTCTACCATACTGTCGCAGTTATAGGTTACTCTTAGTTGAGATGCATACGGCAGTCGGACTCAAAACCAGCGCAGAGTCGATGTGAACAGTCCCGCTTTGTCACGATGAGCGAGAGGCCAGCTCCCATGACTGCCATGACGGCTATGACACTCCCATCGCCCTCATCATCGATGTCATTACATATCAAGAACTTCAAGAACGAAGATTGTCTTTGCAGACCAATACAAGAGTTGTGTACCACGACTGAGAGCTTATATTCGTCAGTTAATTATGACTCCTGAATATTTATACTTGACACATACATTGTTATGTCCTAACCTAGAGGATAGTTAGTAGACTTGTATCCTTCATAATCGTCATCTGCAACATTTGTACCCTCCCGGATGATACCAATACTTGCCAAAATCTCGGACCCTCAGAATAATTGAAGCAACAAAGGCGACATGCTTATCGGCATTATCATCGCTATCCTCATCGAAGTTGTTCTGAGCTCCGTCAACGCCTCAGCAAGCCCGACATCACCGAGCCATAGCGTGTTTGCCGGACGTTTGCGCAGCAGCCCTCTTGTTGTTCGTACCTGGCGGCGTAGCTGGCGCAGGCTCACGTCCCGTCGTGTCGAAGAGCCGATCCCGAATGCAACCAAGGAAAGGTGGTGAGGGCCTCTAGCCTTTAAGCGCTCGACCACGGAAAAGCCGTTCCCATCAAAGCACTCAACCACCGAAGAGCATTCCCCGAATCTGACGGCAAGGAAAGATGGCGAAGAAAATTGAACACTGCTGCTGCTGGCGCTGGCCACTTTCAGCTCCTCCGCCACGTCGAATTGCTCCTCCCATAGCTTCTCCAAATTCTCCAGCGTCTCCAAAGGTGTCTGACAAGGGAGCTTTGCCCTTTTCCATTAAGTCGTGCAATCTTTTGGTGACATTCAGCCTTGGCCATCGATGCCATTTGTACACTGCTCAGTCCCTCGACGTGGGCTGATTGAAGAATGAGTCGGCAGCTCCCTCTTTCCAGCTATGGGCGTCGCTACGTATCAGTCCCCGTGCGTCTCCGATTTAAGGAGTGAGTGGCTTCGTCGGGCTGACTTGTCAATGACTTACAGAGAGCCACCAGTTGGGGCTAGCAAAGCATCATCACCAGGCCAATTCCTGGACACATTTCCATCGAAGATGTAAGGGGACACCTTTGAAGCGGGAGTTGAGCTTCTTTCCAATGTGAGAGTCTAGCCGCGTATCGAAGGGGCTACCGCGCGGAGCCTCGTTTCTACCAACTCTCAGCGTCATATACTATCTCATATCGGCGGGTAACCATCCCCGGGTACAAGGCCGTCTTTCACCTGCAGTGTTCAGTTGTGATCGCGGTGATCTGTGTAGCGAGAACTTCTGTTGCTGGGTGGGACTCCTCCCTCACACCACTTAGCATCATCGAGCCAATGTGCTATCTCTCGCGTGCCGCGCATGCCTTGTCATTCAGCACACACCTCGGCACAACCTACATTCTTATCCGAAGCTCCCTAATCGCTAGGTCACTAACGATGTGGTCATTGCAGCGACCTCAGACACCAGCTGCATGTCTTCATCGTGCTCATCCGACGTGCCTTGCTAATGCGATCCTCCAGCTATCGAGAATCCTGGAAGCTAAAGAACGCGGTCCGCCTCTACTATTCCAGCAAGTTCGACCGTGGTAGGGGAGTTAGCGAACTGAACTTGCGCGCCCGTTGCAAAGCTGTCATGATGCAACAAGATCAACCTGAAAGGGACGGCGGCGAGCGCCCAATTCGTCGAGCTCACCTGGACTCGCACAACTTAGTCCCAAACAACACCTTTGCCACTAGCATTGCTACCCGCTCGACGGATCAGGCTGCGAGAGAGAAGGTCGAGACAGTTACCAGGAAGGCTGTAAGGCGTAAGCGGGCCGGCGGCTTCGACCAGAAGGACTGCAAAACCCCCGGCAACCCGCGTATTGTAGTCAAGGATTCCCGCTACCACCATGCCACCCAGACAGACGATGGTTACGAGATGCGAGACGATGACAGTAGTCCTTATGAAAATGACAGCCGAAACATCAGCCAGGACAGCTTCGATGACAAGGAAGAAGAGATGGAGACTACTGAACGCGTCCGTCGTTGGATAAACGAGATGCTGCTAGGTGGGTACAACCAAGCGTCTGCTGAGCCACCGCCTGGCTTACTAGCAGACTGATGGGCATACGGAGAGGTTTAATATCGACGCCATACGGCAAGTGATTTTACGAGTGCATTGAATTGAAGAGCGAAGGAGCGATGAGATGCACGAAGGGCATTGACTTAGGTCTATCACGGTGATTAATCTCGGTTGGTGACATCCACCGCATTTTACTTTGTTGGGCAGTACACAGATTCTAACGAAAGGTGCATTCCTGCAACTTTAATGGTGTTCGTGGCGGGGGTGTGTTAAACACGAGGCAAAACGGGCAATGGCTGGAACCTATGGGAGCTTCAATAGTAGTACATGACTCACTTTACCTTATCTCACGTACCAAAAGCAGTCAAACAGAGTTGTTCAAACTCCGAGTTTTGTCGACTAAGTTGACTTGCGGCATGCGCATGTTTACTGCGAGCGAGAACAATGTGTTCTTCGCACCCACAACAAGAAGCGCAGCGGATTGTGCAACAGGGAATTCGATTGCCAGCATAAACTGACGTCGTTTCTCTCACCATCCTCCTTTATCGACCCTAGAAGTGGTCTCCTGCATTGGGAATACACCTCCTATGTATATATCAAAGTACCCATCTTACCTCCAACCTCTACCGTCTCATCGCATCACGTTCCCACGCCTGTACTATCCGTGTCACAACCGTTTGGTCTTCATAAACCACACCTTCGGCGAGAACTGCCACCTCGCTATCCCCATAAAGCTTTGTCAACTACTGAGGGTATTTTGCTTCCATTCATTGATCAACTCACACAAGCTCATCTTATTGTAGCGCATATTTCCGGCGACCGTCACTCACCTCGACTTTGCTTTCGGCAGGTGCGTGTCCACGCGAAAAGTAAGGACGCGTTCACCTCACCCGATCTGAGTGGCTAACGTGTGCATTCAGCGTTTGCAATTGCCCAAGTTGCCCCATCTCCACCGTCTATACTCGTCGCGGCGTGACAAAGCGGGAATAATGGGTGATGATCACATGAAAACATGGAGCGTTCGAGCCGACCATGCGAGACTACAAGGGCAAGATGCGAACCATACACGACCTCAGCCATTCGAAAGCACACCCACCAGACGTTATCAGTCAAACGTCTTCGATCGTGTCGTGAAGTCAGCTGAAGCAACCGCAAGAGCATACGTTGTTGGCTCATTCGCAAGAAGTGCGCTTCGACCAAGGACAGGCACCAGGCGCCCAGCAAATCATCAGCACACTTCACAGTATCGGACCGCCGGGAACGAAGACAGCGTAGGACTCCCAGGTACTGGGCCAGCTATACAGATTGGCATTTTGAGGCAAGGGCCTGGTCAAGGAACCTTGGAAACCAAGACTTGCGTAATATCGCCCAAATAATCCGCGAGAGTAGCCTTGATAGCGGAGAAGAGAAGATGAAGAAGAGCTTCGAAGTCATGCACGAATGGCTTGATGGCATGGGGCTGGGTGGTGCAAATGAATCGCCTTTACATCCCCCCCGATGGTCTAATCGATGATTGGTAGTCATGCGGAGACGTCTGATACCGGATCTGAGGAGCGCCTTAAAATAAGGTGAACAGTGTGCAGTCCCAACCGACATGTAATTAACAGTCCATGGACTCGGGTGTCCTATGATGATGTTTTCAGCCAGGGTGAAGACGGCCGAGAAGCATCAGTCAGTGGAGGATGGGCGAGGACTCGTGCGGTTCTCGGTGGATATTGTAGCGTAGCACGTGGAGCACGAATGCTCTAGAAGGTTTAGACAAAATAGGGTATCTTAGTGCACCAAAAGTAGTTCAACGAATCTTTCCAAAATCCTCCGACTGAGTCATCATGCCTCATATCCACCATAGTCTAACGACAAGGAGGCTGTTAGTCACTCCGAGTATACGTGCGTCCTAGTCATGGGACACGACAGCGCGGCTGCGGCTTTGTGATGCAATCAGCTCATATCAACAACATAAGATTACTGAGGTTACCACGAGTTAGCCCAGAGCAATGGCACTTCGTAGGTGTCTACATTTGGCAAGCCCCAAAGCGAAGTCTTCCAAATGTCGACAGCCAGGCACCTTCTAGCATTCATCTTCGGTGATCCCCAAAGACAAAGCGGCTCGTGTACGTTCGCGCCTCCTTCATGTTGGAGTAAACGCAAACATCAGTAGAGGGCCGACAGCCAGGGAATATAGACTGCGAAGCATGAGAAAGCACTTGACTGACCTGGCCATCCTGGCGGACATCAACACTGCAGAAGAATCAAGACAAGCACGAAGGTCGGCCGGAGTGAAAGTCGGCGCCGGTGACAGCGCGATCGGTGATCGATTAGTCGCGGGGAGTGGAGAGAAGAGGCGGTAGGCTAAGTTTGGTCTTGACGGCAACTCCAGTCCTTCCCCCGGGAAGAGTACTTCAGATAGCTCATACCAAGCCACGTACCAAAACCCTGCACCACATCCTTAGCCCCTTCTCCCACTCTTGTTCCTCGTTCTTCACCAGCTTGCCTGAGCTCTGGTGATTACCGCCAAAACTTCCTTGCCACCACGAAATCAGTATGGCACCACATTCTAAAGTATACCTACTACGGGCGCCGGGTCCGAGAGTCTGTGACCGTGTCCGCTAGCCGTTGTCGAGATATCGGATGGTTGTAGGGGAGAGAAGATCTCTTGGGCGGGGGAACTGGCGCACAAGGGCACTAACCCCAACGTTGGGGCGCTGGCACCCTCGGCAGGCTTCGCCCGTCCAGCGCAGGCTTAATCCAACGACAATGTTGCACTCCACCAACTCGGACAGCCCATTTACCTTAGGCCTTTTGCTACACAACTAAACTGCTTCGAGACGACATGCTCAGCTGACCTGAACGACACCCGACCTTCACCCGGAACGCGACTGCCAGCACCGCGACGCGCCCAACCACCCACCCCTACTTGTACTCCCACGTCGCTGTCCTTGAGGTATCTCTCGTCGACATCACAATCGCCTACCCCATGATGACTTGCATTCGCCCTCACCGCAGCCAGAGCTCGGGCAGTCCTTCTACTATGTGCGCCCGCCCGCCCGTCTGACGTAGCCGCCAAGGCCCCGCGCGCGCCAACCCTGGAGAGCGTCGCGCCTCAAGCAGCCCCCGCCAGCCTTACGATACATTCACACCCGCCGAAGAGACAGCCACTGCGGAATCGCTTTACCCTACACGCACTACACAACCATACATCGCGAGCGATATCGCGATATTCTGGACGTACGACTGGGTACATGGTCATCGCCCTATCCCCAACGCTACTTCTGTCGCGACTGACACGACACCGTAGGACGTACCGCGGGTCCTTGGCAAGGCAGTGACGACGAGCATTGCCAACATATCGCCGATGCCGCATTCGACCTCAAGACTGCCCGCTAGACGCCCTCGCTACACATCAACGCCCACACCGATACTACACTCCACCGATACCCCGCCCAGCTCAGCGCTGCTCAAGCGACGACGACTTGACGCCCCCACTCTATTGCAGCCAGACTGCTCCTCCTCAGCCCATTTTCCCTCTCCAGTCCCTTGACACCCTCGCTCCGAAAAAAATGGAACCACCAACACATAGTCGGAGGCGAGGTAGACGGAATTACGAGCATGTGTTGAATGTCATTGCCGAACGCTCTCATCGATGAGCTATACGTACGATCGTGCCTGATCCGCACCCGCTACCCAGCACGCACACCTCTTATACAATCATCCTGCGTATCCCTCTTCGAACAAGAACATATACAAGTGGCATTTGGAGGGTTTCGCCATATCATGGTGCATGGAAAACTGCACGGGTATGGCAGCCTCAATGGACGCGATATACGTGGATTTGCCGAACGTTCTTATCACGGATATAATGGAGCCCTTGTCGTCGCACTTTGGCATCGCGGCCATGGGCGGTGCACCAACTCGATCAGGTCCCAACTCCAGTCGACCATCGATCTCACCATGAATACCGTCACATCGCTCTCCGTCGCAGCCTTCAGCCATCGACACGCCTCACAAAGCAGGCCGGCCATCCCGTGTCTGCCAACCATCACGTATGTCGCATCTATGTCCGCCACCAGGTCATCCTATTCGGCTCCGCCAATGCCTTCTCAAGTCATCGTGGACGTAGTCGCAGCTTGATGTGCTCACGCCACTCATGGACGATGTGAAGATGACGTCGATGTGGGGCGGGGCAGCGATGTTGCTAGCAGCTTGTGCGTCCCCGAGCAGTCGATGCGGCAGTATTTTGCGGGCACTGGGGTGACTAGTTGTCAAGCTTGAGGATGAAGATGAGGACATGGATTTTGAGTGAGATGGGTAGTACAGAGACCGTGAGGAACGACAGCAAAAGGGGTGTATATGTCAAGCTGCGTCTCCAGTAGCACTACGACAAATGTACTTCACAGATCGAGGTCTTCTCCTTCTCCACGGTTAGGTGATCAGCTTAGGCTTAGTGCTGACGGATACGAAGTTAAATCTGAGTATTACTTGCCTCTTTTGAAAACTGCTCGGTCTCATGAATATAATCAACTCCTCACTTCGGGAACTTCTGCTAGCGTCACCTGCGCATGGAAATCCGAGACACTCAACCCACCCGCAGCCGACCGCGCAGGTACACCACGCCGAACTGATACGTCCCTCATATCGACAAGATCAATGGAATGACTTCTTCCAAGCGTCGGGAGTTCTTTCTAACCCCCGGCATCTATGCGGACAACTCTTCATTCAAGCTATCCTCACTCTCTACAGCCCATGTAACAGCGTCTCACTCAGCCCACGAACGCCCAAGTTGTCTCTAGCCTCGTCTGCTTCTGTTACGGCATACTTCAAACCCAATCAAAAGAACCGCGTTGCGACCGCTCCTGGGAACGATGCGCCTCTGCGTTCTCTATTTGTCAAGACAGCGACGAGAATAGTGTTGATCAGAAATGCCGTCATTGCCAGTGTTGTGCTGAGGGTTCAAGTATTAACCACTGTGCGCAGACGTTCTTCCGGGTGTTTGCAACAAGTCTGCATAAATATGGCCTAATACAAGTCTATTCATGAGCGGC